GATTGAACTCGTACCTGAGCCACCAGTAAGATCGTGAATATTATTATACGTTCTCTTAATTTGCAATTGCATTGAGAAATTGTGACTGCATATGTGCACTATATGTCATATCCCTTATCAAATAAAAGAGATAAACCAAAAAACATCTGTTATCATTTTATAGTTTGTCGGTTCTCAGGCTTAAGGAATTCCTACCAATCAGAAGACCAGAGAGTACACGCACGAATTTAAGTGAATAGAAAAGAGCAAATAATCTGAACAAAGCTTCAGTTCACAGAAAATAGAACATCTCAGCTACAGTTCACAGCCAGGGAGTACATACCTCTTCGCGTAACAGGCCTGGAACTAAGGCATAAACCTCGAAGCAGTCTTTCTGCAAATAGAAAATTAGACAAGGTTAATTCTCTTAGTGCATGCAAGTTTTTGTAAAGAGAGAGAATTGAATAGTTTGATGCAAACATACAGTCTGGCGTACGTTAATCTTCACCCAATCAGCCGGGGGTCCAACATCAACAACTGATGTAACCAATCTACAAAAATATAGCAATTCATAAAATTTCAATTTCTAATAAAAAATTGAAATATAAAGGGAAAACATTGCACCAGATAGTACTAAAAAGGAAGACACAAAGCAAACATATAGCATATGTTCTATGTATAAAGTTTTAACCGTATTATAGCCAAACTTAACTGCTTAGATGTTTCAGTTCGAGCGGCTTTATTTGAATGCTCCACATCGTTTGGTCTCTTCTGTTTTAGGGAGCCTGATCAACATGTCAGATACAGAATAAACCAACAAAACTAAGTCAATTCATATACTAAAGGCTAAAATGGAACATAACTCGTCCACATCAGCATTTTAACGAAAGTTAGCTTACCAATGCTTTTGAGAGTTTTCTCGCGCTTCGCCATTGTGTTAAGATTCTTGTCCTATCAAAATGGAATTCAAGAAAATGGCATAAAAAACTATGCTGCGTAATGTCAAGAAAAGTAGACCTGAAAGGTGATTTATAAAAATGTTAATTCTCAAACAGACCTTTATAATTGGCTCGCCAGCATCACCGTTTGGAAAAAGGGTTTGGACATGCCAACCTTGCATAGCACGACCAGCAGCATCTCTTTTACCTCTTCCTGATCCTAATATTTGATGACCATTTCCCTGTGTGATATTTAAATAATCAATTTATGTTGTAAACCAACTTTTATGCCGAAATACTTGCTATATGCATATACATTAGAGAGAGAGAGTTAAATTGCTCCATAATCCTATTTTCTTGTTTTTGAGCCATCTCTTATATTAAACATCCTCTATTAGCATGATGAAGGCATCAATAAACACTTAAGCACGAAACAAGATTACAGCATCGGATTCTTTGCATATTAAGCAAGATTAAAGTTTAAAAAAATGAACATGTTCATGATTCAATCTTTACACTTCCATTATCCTCAAACATAAAATATCCAAGGTATCTAGGGATTTTGCAATAGATGACCCCAATATATACACCTAATAACATTAGGTCAACTTTGCAGAACGAAGGAAATTGTTCCATTTATAAAACAACGTAGAAAGAAGCATGCAATAAGAAATATTAAATGCGAACTTACATCAGCGTCAACAGGAGAAGCGTCAGTAAGTGCTGCTACCGGCAGTTGAAGCTCGCCACTTTGTGTCTTATGTCTTTCATATTCCAGAAGAGACTAATGCATATAGAAGGAGAAATTAGGTTTTTGACTTAGATGTAGCACCTAATTCTGATTGATATAACAGAAACGGAATTACGTAGAAGAGAAAAACACGCTCAAAAGAGCAATACATGCAGGTACTATTCTAGTGTCAACTCTTTCATCATTGAGAAGGGTACAGAAGATCTTTTGTTAAAGTCATTCACTCTTTTGCATCCAATCACTCATCTTGAGTGCGTGGAAAGGAGAATTTTAATAACACAAAACTATGCTTCATGCTCATTTCAATGATTCAACTGAACCCAAAAGAGTTCCAAAATTCTAGCAGGAGGATCTATCTAACTGAGTCAGACAGATGTGAACTAAATCACTATTACAGCGATAAAAGTCAAAGCAAAATACTCACCTTCTCGTAGAAAATGCGGAATGTCCAAGAAACTGTTGTACAAGTCCTGAAACAACAAAAGAGACACATCACTTAATTAACTTTTAAAGCCTGTTTCATTTCAAAAATTTTGTCGGGAAGGCGAGTAAGTGCCAACAGAAGATTAGAAATTCAAATGGAAATACTCAAAATTAATTTTTTTTTCCTCACAGAGACCATGTAAAAGCACATCTACAGTTTTATATACGGATTTTTTAATTTCATCAACAAATTATTTATATGCTCATTTGACAAACAATAATCCAACAGGATACTATCACAATCATTTCATGACCAGCAAACAATAAGAATGGCAAAATAATTCCATAGAAAGTCTTACTTTGGTGGATGGAACGACTCTCCCACCTGCCTCCACAACTTGGATCCAGTTACCTATTCAAAGATATACAAATTCATAAACACTGAGAAGACATCCAATAGCTGATGCATTTAACTAGACCTAAACGCAAAAAGAAGTCCAACTTTGTAACTCGGAAAAGAGCATTAGATGACATGTTAATAGGTTCACTAAATCAGTTATACCAGATTTTGCATTAGTTAGAAGGAGACTAGTGCTACAGAGCATCTAGTTACAACAGCTTCCACAGAAGTACAGTAACAAAATTCTACCTCAAATTTTTGTGGGTGTGAATAGAATAGCAACTTTCTACCAGATTCTTTTTCTTTAGCCATATTTCGTCAAACAAGAAGTATTTAATGCCTCGCCAAGTCATAGGTGCAAACCAAAAATTTAATAGAGCATTAAACAGCAAACATGAGTAATATGAAGCCAACAAAAAATAATAATAATAATGATAGTTAATAGTTGAACAAGGAAATATTTCTATCTCAATGCAATTTCGAGACAATTTCACAGACGGTTTTCCTTTTGCGTTTCCTAGGAAATGTTTGTGAGTGTTGTAATGTCCCCTAACTTGGGATACTAACAACCAGAAGCATTGGTGCTTAGAAGGGGTGAAGTATTTTTTTGTCTAGTAATAAGTCTAATAAGGATACCCATTCTCAGAGGTCCAGTGGCGAACAATGAGCTGAGTGAGAGCTCATGTAAAGTGTGAACAAAAAACAAAAGAAATATTTGCTGTCACACAAAATTACATATTTAGTACGCAAAAGAAAATCTAAAAATTAATAGAAAATAGCAGCATGCTATAGGAAGAATGTCCATAGAGTTTCTGCATAATCGACATATAAATAAGGTTTCATGCTCTGAATCATGTCAATAAAGGTAACTGAAGGTAAAGAGTTATTATGCATAAATGTTAGACACATTACATAACAGAATTATAGTTAACTAATATGTGTTACCCCACGCTAAATAGTTGATGGGGGAAAACATCGAGCATAAAGCAATCTAGAGACTTCCGCAAGCATTAATTCTCATGCAGATCTAGAACTTGATATAGATACACAAGCCAGGACAGCAATCTGACACTATAAAACTACAAAACTTTAAATATTGAATGCCAAGAAATAGAAATATGGAGCATAAAGTACACAAAATTACGACTATTAGGAAAATTAGGATATGCATACCCTGTCATAGCCTCCCAACCTAATTGTAGCCCTCCATAACCTAGCAGCCCAACAAAGTAAGGAAATTATTCTTTACCAAAGAACAGAATAATAACAAATCGAACTACACGGCATACTTACTTCAGGCAATTTAGTGGCTGCCCATAAAATTTGGGTGGTTTGAAGTCCACTGCCCTCTCCCTACAGAAGCTTTCAAGTTCCTTCATAAATGCTGCTTGTTCATCTGGTGTTCCATCGTCGCTCTCTCCCATCTAAACATCAAAACAAACATTATATACACTGGAAAATTGCAATTGTCGATGACTGATAACTACATACAATTATATAATTTTGCTTGTTTTATCTTTCCTCATATTTATTACCAGAGGTAGCGTTACTGGAGTAAAAGCATTCTTTGTTTCTCCACTATGATCTCCACCACTTGCTTGAGAATATCTGACAAGAGAACTGGGAGTAGCAGTTTCATGCTGGTTCGCAGGCGATGAATCTTGACCATCAAGTTTGGCAGCAGTCTCAACACTATTATCGTTCTCAACAATTCCACGGCTAGCAAGAACTGTTTCCGCACCATGTTCTTGTATATCATCTATAGATGTTTTACTTTTGTCCAAGTCAGCTGCAGCTTTCATATCTTCATCCTTACCCTGCTGAACCTCATCTTGCTCAGCATTCTGTATTTGAGGAGCTTCAATGGCAGATAAGTCAGTTGGAAGCTGCACATCTCCTGTAAAATTATTCCCAGCATCAGCTTTTTCCATTGTCTTTTCCCCTACTGCAACATGTTCAACATAATCTGTACCCTCCATGCCAATATCTTTGGGACTTTCCTCTACAGCATCTTCATTGGGTTTTTCCTCCACATTTTTCACCTCGTCTCCACCGTCCAGGCCATTCTCAGTGGTCTTCTTCTCTTCTTCCAGCCTACCATTAGTAACATTCTGTTCAAACACGTCATTTTTTACATCAGTTTGTTTCTCCACTGCACTTCTCGAAGCAGTTTGCTCTTCAGCCCCAGTTTCGGTGGATATTAGTTCCTCATTGTCACTTCCTGAATTGATTTTTTCACTGACTGGTCCCTCTGTTGGCTCATAGGCCTCACTGTTAGAGTTAGCTTGATCTTTCAACTCAGCCAAGACATTAGTCTCGTCAATATCTTCTTCTCTGCCTTTATTTGCTCCCCCATTCTCACATCCATTTACATCCTCAAAGACAGCAGCTGGACATGGAATTTTTTCTCCTTCCTTTTCAACACTAGCATCAACCGATTTGCCCTCTTCAACATTATTTCCTGAATCATTAGGGAGCTTTTCGGCATCCTCCATCTCTACATCACTTTTGCTCATTTTGCTATCTATGCAAAGATATATTGAGTCCATCAAAACATTTTCATACGGATAGTTTCACCAACATGAAAAAGGAAATGGAAAAATTGAATCCCTCATGCAAAAATTGCAAAATAAAAAAACTACACAGCAAAATAGAAACTAATTTCTATCGGATCTTGTCCTCCGAGACCAGTCACTAGCATTTTAAACCCTAATTCCGAATGATGAAAAACGGCAACTCGATTTACCCGTGTATGAAGAAAATCCCACAACCATTTCAGTAAAACAACATTGCATATACCGGGCTAAAAAAATCCTGAATCTATTTACAGTTAATTTCCAGATTCACGTATAAGGAAAATCCAAATACAAATGACAAACACAAAAGAAACAAGCGGAAACAACAACCAAACACTTACCTGAAATAAACACGCGGCGGCTGCGGCGACCGGAGCTTGAATATGCCCAAACGGAGTGCAATCAAATCTAGGCTTCGGCTTGTTCCTTTCAGTAGTAAAATGAGAAGACAATGTGCGAGTGTGCAATTCGACTGCAAAATATGGTAGGATCAAAATAGGAGCCAAAATAAATTGCTTATTTACACGGTGATGGTAGAAAGTACGGTGTTTTACTGGTAAAAAAACCACGAACGCAATCGGCGACGTAGAGAGAGAAAGAATTCGCTCCGGAGAACGCCGGAGAGAAGAGAGAGAAAGAGAGAGAGAGGATTTGGCTCTGCGGTTTCGTAGTTCAAAAGAACGGATTTGGCTCGCCGATGTAACACCGCCTGGATATGGACCGGCTGCTGTTATGTCTATTTTACCCTTTTAAAATTAGTTGCAGATTGCCTAGAGGTTGAGAAAAATCAATAAATTTTAATTGCAATTTTAATCTTCAAGATTTTGGAAGTTAAAACAAGTGGATGGTGAAAATATATTGCATTTATTACTATTTAAAAATCATTTGCGATTTTACGAATAGGGTTGTAAACGAATCGAATACGTGACTTTTTTTAGAATTTGATCGAAATTTTGGTTTGACTATTATACTGAGTCGAAGTTCGAACGAGATTTAACCGAATTGAATACAAATCGTACTAACTGATAAAATATTATTCCATCAAATTTTTATGTTCTCAAAATCTTCAAATTGTGAATGGCCAATTAATTGCAAGTAATTACTTTTTATTTCCATGAAAAAATATGTCACATTAGGTCAATTGCAATCCGTAGCGTTGATCTTAAAAAAAAATATTGGATAGGTCATATGACAGTGGTCAAGTAATTGGAAATAGTTACTTTCTATTTGTTTGAATAATAATAATTTATGTCAAATTTTAAATATTACAAATTATCTTTACTGATAGGGTCTCTCTCTCTCTCTCTCTCTCTCTCACACACACACACACACACACACACACACACACACATAATGAAAGATGCAGGAGGGAATTTATTGAAATATGTCTTTATTTAAGCCGGATGGTGACCAAAAAAATGTACCTAACGAAGTGCTGGATTCCAATTCCAATTCCAATTCCAACCAAACATTATTCTCATGTTAAAACATTATTATATAATAAATATAATAAATTTAACAAAAGTGCAAATCATGAAGAAACCAAAACTGGGTCTGTCACCATTTCTGAACCCTCACACAAACTTTAGAGAAGTTAGTTTTAACTGCAGCAGAAATATCAGAAAAATATAAATAAGCAAAGAAGTGTTCTAGAAGGGAGTACTCCCACCAGAAGCTGCAGACATAACAGAGAGAATCTCGGTCACAGAAGCCATGGCCGACAATGCGGCTTTCAGAACATCTTGCGAACACCCTGGTTTCACTATAGAACGCACCTGCAAAAAAAAAAAAAAAAAAAAAAAAATTAATGCCGCAAACGAAACAAGAATTAAAGAAAGATAAAAACATGATTTATTAAAAGGACGAGTTGGGAAAGAAAAGAGCAGAACCTTGTCTAGGTGTTCCTGAAGTAGTTTGATGCGGCCCATATAATCCTGATCCTCAACACAGAGAGTTACTGCCTTGGCATCTGCACCAGGACCGTCGTACTGAAGTGGTCCTGGGTTTCTATATACGTCGTCCATCAAAAACTTGGTCGAATTTTGTCGTAATAACCTGCCAAAACAATATCAACACCCACTTTAACCATAATGAACCCCAATTTTATTTTATTTTATTTTTAATTAAGTGAGATATGGCAAAGCAAAGCGAATAGTGAAGTAAGACGTACTCGTAGGATTTGCCTTTCAGATCAACAGTTGCTGGATGTAAAGCTGGTTTTCCAAGGATTGAAGCTCCATGACCACGGCCATAGCGTTTAACAGTCATCATAGCCTGAGGGTTTGCAAATTAAAAAAATTAAAATTTAAAATAATCGTACTAGATCTTAAAAACGTTTGAAGCACCAGGTAAAAGTAGATGTGGTGCTGCCAAGAGTATTAGTGGTAGGGAGGGAAAGGAATCGTACTGTTATAGGAGCAGCAGCACATCGCCACTTGTTCACAGGATTCTTCAAGTTGGTTAATGTTGCCATATAACCGTTCAAACCAGCAGCAATTATGTGATAGCCAATATGACCAAGCACCTACATATCATTACTTCTTTTAGTTCTTTGACTTTTTGGCATAGAAAATCAAATTTCATCACAAGAGAAAACAAACGAGAAATAATACTACAATTCGATCACGAGTCTGTATAATAGAACAGAATTAGAGCTCCAAAAGGAATTATCACACACACACACACACCCCACACCAGCCAAAGGTGCAATCATAGAGCACTGGCCTACTGATGTTGGCTCGATTATTTCCACCACTCGCAGGGGCTAGCTTTTTAGTTATACCAATAAAAACAAAATGATAGAATTAAATGAAAATCAGAACTTACGTAGGCATAGTCACAATCAAATTTTGATGGCAATGATCCCCGAGCTTGATAACCGAAGAAATGGCAAATTGCATTGAATTTCTTTCCCTTGTAGGTTCCTTCTTTCTGCACAAGGACAGCATGAGATGCAGCGAAATGGTAATACACTATAAACTTTCTTACCATACAATATGATCAAGTTTGATTGACTTTAAGAAAAATGCATTAGTTAATATTTTACAAATAACACAAGCAAGATGGAGATAGTACCGTTCGCTTGTTCATTTCTGCTTCAACAAGATGAGCTAAGAGCTTTTCTGTTTCAATCTATCAAGTTAAGAAAAAAATTAGTCAAAAATTGTTTCACACATTGTAAAGATAAAAGGAAAGCATGTTCAATTCAAGCACCTGCGATAGCTGCGCAGAGTCATCGGATTCTGGATGAAGAAGGAGCTGAGGCATAATATTAAAATGGTGAGCAAAATAACTGAAACAAATTATATGATATGTGGAATTTGACACAAAAAAAACCATAAATTGTACCTGTTTTCTTATAAATGGAGGCAGGAACTCGAACAATGCAGATGCCCAAGGTGACAGTTGGGCAGAAATGTTATCAGCAGAGACACCTTGTCTGAGCAAAGCATGAATTTCCTGAGAGGCACAACAATTCCAGAATAGGTGAACAATCATTTACATATGCATCTCTTTTTGTTGGACCTAAATTCTCAACATCATTTTCTTTAGATTATCTATATTAATTTCAAGGGAGGGGCAGGGATGGATCTAGAAGAGAAACTAGTTGAAGAAACAGAAGCTTGTTTACCTGCAACAGAGCAAAAACTTCAGGGAAACTTTCTATGAGTCCTTCTGGCAGAAGAATGACCCCATGGTATTTATCTGCATTAAAAACATGTTAGTAGAGAATGTAGAGAATGGGTAAAAACATACACTTAAATATCGATAAGAGCTCTTGACGGCTTCTACCTTGTTCAGCCCTAGCTTGAACTGCATCACATATTTGATTTGTGATGTCAAAAATTGTAAGTTTCGATGCAGCCACCTCTTCGGCAAGAATGACCTGCAGGAATGATCAAGGCTATTTAAATACAAAGGGGAAAATAAAATATCTTGAAGCTCCACATACAGCGATTTTTCAATCAAGATGAGAAAAATGAAATACAAACCATATTGGGATGAGACTGGAGAGTGCACTCCAATGCAACATGAGATGCCTTCCTCCCCATGAGTCGGATAAAATAATAATACTGCAAATAGAAAAAGAGTACAGGTTAATAACAAAGGAACAAAGAGTCCACCTATCAAAAGAAACATGAGAATGCACTATGCACTATCTCATTTTCCATTTTTAAATAAAGGTCCAATCAATTAATTTATACGCAAATGAAAACATGAATGACTCCTCCTAAAGGGAACTCCCAACAGCAAGATGCATAAGTAAACCAAATGAATCACTTACCTTCTCTGCCGATAGTGCATCAGTGCAGACATTGCTAATCAACTGGGAATTAACCTGAAATAAGAAAAAGAGATATTTTATTAGGTTCTCAGACCTTTCAATTTATTAGTGTATGATAACCTATATCAACGAGGAAATGCATATAAATGACATGCCATGCTAAAGGGAAAACAAAGTAATACTTTCCACGCACTCTAAGTTAAAAATAATAAATTTGTTCAGATCTCGTGCTTTACACAAATAGTGGTAAAAATAATAAGATGGGCAGAAAAGAGAAGCTCATATTACAGTCATGTCTCAACCCCAAAGGTATATAGAGAGAAGAGTAATAAAAGGCAAACCAACCAATATAGTATCAGGACTGAAGAATATATACAAACTATTGAGAAGAGAAGTGTATTACCTTGCATATTGTGTCAAAACCCACATTTGTCTCAACAAATTGGTTTCTTAGATCTCCATTTAAAGTAACGGGAATACCAACCACCTGCAGAAGTTTATCAAACAATTTGCTCACCAATGGTTAAAAGCGATGACAGAAGTCAAATGAAAGCAACAACATTGTTGAAACTGGGTCAAACTTGAAGGGCTATATCTACGTAAGATCAGTTAGAACAATGAGGCTCAGACCAACTAAAAGGTAAAACTAACCCAAGAATATGTTTGATCATAAGATAATTTTGACTTGTGATCAACTAAAAGGTAACACTGAACCAAGCAATAGCCTCATTGTATAGAAAGTTGTGTGATATACCTTAGTTGGGCATTTTCTTTCCGCAAATGTTTCTGCAAGTTGGGCAGCGTCTGTGTTTGATGTCACACCTTCATAAAAAAACATGGGAATGTCAGGAAACTGAAATGAAGTGCATCCTAGCTTGTCATGGACCTTAAAGACAACAAAAATACCTCCAATAATGACGAGTGCATCAAGCTTCAAGGCTGTGCATGCATTAAGTGCTGCATTTACTTGCTCAATTGTTCTAATTTGATCTTTTGTCCGTCCCAGTAAATCATAACCCCCTTTCAACACAAAATAAAACCCAATCAGCATAGTTAGCTCCAAAAAAAAAATTATGGCGGGTTATATGCCACCATACTTACCTTGATTTTTGTAGGTTGCAAGAACTTCATCAGTAACCTCTAAAGTTTTCTGTGCAAATAAACCATCAGAACCACCTGGTGACACACACATGAAATTTTAATATACTAATTGTCACGAAAAGAAAGTTCAATCATTTAAAAAACTAACAGAAACAAGAAGAAATATATAACTGGCGAAAAAAAATGCTAAGTATAAAAATCTTCCACTGCTAGAAGAAAATTTCGATAAAATAATTTCATATACGCATGCAAAGCACATACATGGCAGACTCCAAAAACCTAATAGATATAAAGGGAAAAAAAACAATTAAGCATCATCAAACTAAGCAAAGAGATCAGGCTCCTTACCCAAAAATCCAAGCAAAACACTTTTGGGGTTGTGGACTTTTAAAGCTTCATGAAGACCCCAAATAACATTATGTCCTCCAGGAGATTGTCTACCACAGAAAACTACTCCTACCCTGGGAAAGAATAAAGAAAGTAGAGCATAGCACAATTTTAACTTAGAGGAAGTGACAAAAACCTATTGAATTGCAAGAGTTCTCTCATGCAAAATTTTGATAGAAAAATGCGATCAACAAATTAACACATTAATAAAATTAAATTCACACAAATGTATACCTAACCGCAGCATGCTCGGTAATTATTTGAGCATCAGGAACCTTAGCGGTTGACCTCAGGAAGTGTGCTAAAGGTTGGCCGTAAGTGAGAGGAAAAGATCTGCTTATGGTGTGGGCGCCTGTGGGATCTGCAGCTGCAGTAGCATCACCAAAATGCACACGAACTGTGGTTCCCTGTCCAATTCAATGACAAAGGTTGTGAAAAAATAGGTTGAAGAAGTTAGATTTTGTCTGTAGAAGTGATCTACCTCAACCAAGAAGGTAAATTCAGTATTCTGTCTTTGACATAGATTTATGAACTATGTAACACGAGGGATAAAAAATTAAAACTATAGTCAGAAACATAAGCAAATTAGTATAGTAGGCTCATACTAAGCCAACAATTACATTGCTCGGATGGCTTTAAGAAGCAAAAAAACTTCAAAGATAATCCAAATTCAAGCTTTCACCTCCGCGTATGTAGAAATAATTTTAAGTGTTTATTTATGAAAAAACAAAGACCTTTAGACTGAAGAAAAATTCAAATTCAGGTAGCAATTTAATTCACATGGAAGACTGTCATACAAACCACCCTTCTGTGTAATGGAATGCATGAAGCAGCAAAAGAACTATACTACAGCCTTCTACATGAACATCGTCAAAGGTAAAAACGCAACAAAACTGCAAACTCAAACCTATGTCATCTGAAATTCTCTGGACAAATGTAACAAATAGTACAGTCTACGAGACCATGTGAACACAAAGAAATAAGTAAGTTTCACCTTCCAAAACAACAAATTTGACTGAAACAAAAAATCAAATACCAAAAATCAACAAATTCCTATAGTTAATAGCCTTTAAATTGAACATTGCATAAACAATGATATACTGCATCAAAGCCACGAGACACATTACATAAATAAAAACGCAGGGACGAAACAAAATAGAACAATTCAGCAGATCCAACACCTTAGATCTATTTTCCTGGACGTTAGCATGTGGAAATCACACTAGATTTTCACGCCGCGTAAAATACATTTCCTAAATCTCGATTTGTGAATTGAAAATTCCAGAATCAACCACCAAAATAGCACAAATAAAAAAAAAACACAGACTAACAAAAAAAAAAATGGAACTAAATTGAACAAAACGCACGATGCGAAATACGTCAATTATTAACAAAAAAAAAAAACATTAAATAAATAAGAAGAAGAAGAATAGATACCTGAAGGCAGGGAGGGAGTTCGGGTTGGTAATGAGATCGAAGCTTTTGCAGATCAGAAAGTTCTCTTGCAATTCCGTAATCAGAATCCATCTGCTCAGTCCCTGCGATTCTGAACTCTGTACTCTCCTCTGTGATAATAAACACACACTCACCAACTATTTCGCCGCTTTTTTCCTTTTAGTTTCCTCTTTCACTAGTTAATTTCTTTTTCCCTACGACAATCTTGGATTATATATATATAGCATGGGGAAGGGGCGGTACTACCAAAGTATCACTAACAAGTACTCGCCAACAATGACGAAAATGCCCTCCTACCAACATTTTTAAATCATAATAATAACTCGAATGAGCGTTTATAAAATTAAATTTTATCGAATTGGGTTCTTACAATTTTGTAACGATATAGGTGCACCGAGTAAATCTACACTCTAGAGACGTAAACCGCACTAATCTAAGTATGTGTGACAAGTTCAATCTAGCGATCATTGACAAGAGCATTTGAACTTGAGTCAATTTACACTAGCAAATTCTCCAAAACTATAACAAATTTTAAATATATGAATGGGTGACACTTTTATAAATAAGAAGTTGCAATAGACATTAGCAACCTTCATACTTATTTTACAAGAATATCTTATAAAACTAAGCTCCAGATTAAAGTCCAAGTTTTACCAACACAGTCTTAAGTTTTGTTAAGGTGGTAGGAAAGAAAAAGAGTCACAATTTTAAGGTGACAAGGGTTATCCATCTGCAACTTTCTTGATGAAAAAAATATTCACAATTTGATAACAGTTATTGCCTTTTTTTTGGAAAAAAAAAAGATCGAATATTATCTCCTAAATTGAATATGCGGATCCACTGGAAAAAACAGAATATCCTGTGGCATCGGATATTTTTGGTGGTTCAGTTTAAATATTAGGGTTTAGTATTTAAGACCCAAACTCGGCCCAATTAGACCGCCTTCGGTCCTTCGCCTACAACTAGAAAAAGACGATTTAAAAAAATAAAAAAATAATAATAATAAATTAATTAATATATATAAAAAAAAAAGGGGAAATTGGATGAAATATTGCACAACTCTTACATATCACAGACCTCCATTTTTTTAATCTAAAGAGTCTAATATCATGATAAGTAAAATAGTTATATTAAACAAAACAGGCACAAGCAATCAAGAACCAAGTGAACACCCCTAAGTCTCAAACTCCCCACCATGAAAATGGAAAAAAGAAAAGAAAAAAGAAATTAACTACTATCTACCACACTAAAGTTATTCCTTCTAGTTTATACCGGGAGAGACCGTAGTGAACCAACTACTAAAAACCGACTGACAAAACAAGACTTGTCCGAAAAGTCACAGGACCACCGGGCTTAACTTCATTCTTGATCTTGAAGCTTTGCATCTCTTCGTCATCATAAATGAATGGAATTGAACTCTGAAAACTTTACTTGCCTCCTTTCTTGGAGTCACGTTTTCCCACTCTGCGCTGCCCACGTTTGGCAGAAGAGCCTTTTCCAGAATTGACAGGAGCTGGCTTGGCAGAGTTAACAGGTATATGATGCCCAGGAACCCAAGCAGGGAACCCAACAGCAGGGATTCTGTATCATTCACAAAAATATCGTTAGTCCTCACGACCGATGAAAACTCTAATATTGATCATTTTTTTAGAGAGAAAAAGAGTGCAATTGCATAGTCAAACAGACGAGAAAATGAAAGACACGATTCATTCTAACCAACTGGACGATAATCGTAGCAAAGGGGAAATAACGACTAGTTTAGCACCAAAGACAAAGTTCAAAGTCCTTACCCAACAAGAGCACAGCAGACTCCTGCTTGGACATGGATGCATCAAATGCCTTATTAGTGTGCAACGAAAGTCGTAACGCTTGATTCTCAGCAAGACAGCACTGGAGAAAATTCCCCAGCCTCCTGCATTCAGCTTCATAATACTTGCTTTTCATCTCAAGATCCTTTACGTACATCTTCTTCCTTTCTCGAGATCTCACAGCTGCATCCCTATTCCTTATTTGCCTACAGATGTCATATAAATATCAATCTAATTACGCATCTTCATTTAATCAATCAAACCCACTCAATCACAACACCCGTCAAGTTCTACAAAAACAACAATTCCAAAGGATACCGCAAATTACGTCAAGCAATGGCACAATGCCATCATTATTCTAATACGATATCGATACAAGATTAAAAAGAATGGAATTAACAATACATGCAGTTCTTAGATACATCATTTGACAGTCTAATCCAAGATTTAATGCACACAAATTTGCACAGTATACATGATAAAATCACATCTGCACTTTTTCACAATATCATCGTTACCGCATTTCCTGAACTGCAGAAGACCTATTCCTTAGCAAATGATTGTACTTGCTCACTAGTCAATTTTTACGAATTTTGATATGCTTTCAGAACTTAATCTAGTACACAAATATAACTCAGCAACATCGAAACCGAAAAGTTCTCCATGCAAATCAAAGAGGCCCAATCAAATGTGGCAAAATTCAGCAACATATAAAGCAGTTCACATGAATCACAATTCAAAACATATACTTCTACAAGAAATTAACTACTACCTTTTCCGTTTTCTTTCAGAGGGATCATCATCTTCATCATCTTCATCATCTTCATCATCTACAGCATCAATCACGCCGTTCTCCTTCGTCTGCGGAACATCAGCACCACTATGATCGGACTTGTCACCCTCCTCTTCTTTCTCCTCTCGGTCCGTCCCAACCTCCACCGAGTTAGGGCTGGTGGAAGAATCCTTAGACCGGTCTGAACCGGATCCGGGCGAAGAATCTAGAAGTACGTCGGATAAAAACTCATCAACTAAATTATCCTCGTATTTCTCATCCGGATGAGAATCATCGTTCATAAGATACTGCTCAATGTCATCGACGGACAAAGAAGCCCCCGAATCGGGGGAGTTCGAGAACAAATCGGCGGGGGGCGGATCGCAGAAATCGAAATTAGGGTTGTCGGGTATATTTTCTAACAACTGGCCCCAATCGATGAATTCACTTTCCACAAACTCATGATCAAACATTCCCGCTCCAATTGAAGATAAACAGCAGCCTAGTGAAGAACAAAATAAACGAAAAAAGAAAATAAAAATAAAAATAAAAATAAAAATGAAAAATAATCTACGCTACGGAATCTCTTTTTTGGGGCAGTTTTTATGGAGAATTTGGGGGTGGGGGTCTTCCGGGATGTTTCTTCATTGCTTCGTGAGTAAGGAGGCGCGGCGAAATATCTCAGCCGTTGATCTCAGTCAGATCGAACAGCTGGCATTGACCTCTTATTTTGGAGGGGGACAACATCACTCGTCCAATCAAAACTCAGAGTTTGTATAACTGGTTCTGTGTGGTGGGTGCACTGCACCCACCATAATTAGAGCCGTGCTTATTGTGTGACATTAAACTCCTTCTATAGTTTTATTAAAATTATTATTATTGTTTATTTTTTAATTCAAATTATCATTGTTATTTATTTTTTATTAAAATTATTATTCGCATTTGCTCTTTAAGTAAAATTACCGTGCAAGAGTTTAAACTCTATAAATTAGTACTGCCAAATTCAATTAATTTAGCAAATTTTATTTGAACATGTTATCCTTGAGTATTATTGTATATGACTATTAATTTGTCGAAATTCTACTGTAGTTTAATTATTGTAAAATAAAATCACCATTACGTTTAGAAATGCTAAATGAGATTATTATCTATATATTTAATTCACATATATATAATCGGTTATGATAGTATATACATTTACAATTAATTGATTTAACTGGAAATTCCAAATTTCCGATTTTCAATTTTTCCAAATTTGTTTGAAACGGAACCAGAATTAGTTTTGTTTTACACGGCCGGAAGTTTTGAAATTGGGGCACCAAAGATAAACTCAGGAGAATTCAAACACTGAATAATTCAGATAGAGAAGTTGATACTTACCTTTCAGCAGAAAAAAGAACTCCTATAAGAAAGAAGGAATTCAAACACTGATTAATCCAGATACATGAGTTGATTTAAGTGCAAAATTTCAACTATTAGCATCTTTCGTGTAAGCACTCAAACGTAAGAATCTTTCTAGTAAGAACGAAAAAACATAATCAAGCAAGTTGCTGCGAAAAGTTGAAAAATCTTACTGCAAAAACAACGAGGAAATACATACCACATGAATACATGTTACTTGTGCACTGAGCTACGTAGCTTACTTGGTATCACCCGGAAATTAAGGATCTAAATAAGCACTGAGCTACGTAGCTTACTTGGTATCACCCGGAAATTAAGGATCTAAATAATTTGCAATATTCGAAGATGTACATTTATCCCCTTACTACTATGTACTACCGATAATCAATTCAAGAATTGGTCATTTTAAACTCCTCTATAACAAATAATAGCTTTTTCTACGGGAATCATCAATCCAAGCACGAAGAAAACGAACTATGATTATCATCCACACAAAAGATCAGTTACTATCGACAAAACG